CACGATTTTTGGGTCTACCTTCTACATGTTAAATTTTAGTTTCTCTTCTACGCTAAAAATAAGGGAAAAAATTATTTTTTGATTAAAGTTTGCTTTTGTAAAAACTAGAGCAATTTTTCAGGAAAAATCGCTAATTCTTATATTTTTTTTATAACTTTACTTTAAATTACGATTAGAAAAGTGTTTGCTGGATATCAGAGTCTTTTTTTTTAAGATTTGTGATAAACAATAACATATAAATGTAAAATAACTCATCGACGTAAATCAGACAAAAGCAAATTTTAAGAACTAAAAATGAAAATTCAAGTGTTTTTTAATGTTTGGAATAAGAATCTAAATATGAGAACAGAAACCTAAAGAAAACAAAATTTTTTGTTGACCGGTGTAATTAATAGATTTATTAATTTTTATTTTTTGGCACAGCCTAAGATATTGGCCAAAAATTGTCCCCTTTCACAAAAATCGGTTTTAGAGCATAATAGATTTTCGGTCCACGCTAATGAATAATGGATACAATGTTCATTTGCTGAAGAACATTGTAATTAGAAGATAATTTGTCTTTCTTGCGATTTAGTTGTCTTCAAACTAAATATTACCGAGCTTGGTGTTCGGTGATTTTATATAATATATATATATATTTTTTTTTTGGAGAAACAATGTTCTACAAACAAAATACTTGGCGAAAAATTATCCACCACCAAGTACCAGGCTTGGTGTGAAGATCTCTATAACAACATGAAACCACCCTATTTAAACAAATTAAGAAACCAAATTGGGGTTTGGTGACAGCCTAGTGCTTTGGATTAGAAATTTGACGAGTGTATTTTTTACAGTTTCCAGCTGATATTTATTTATTATTGTTTCAACCTTTTTTTTACACCACTTTTCTTGCCATTTAAATTATTTGATTTATGTATGGCGTTTAACTAACAAAAGAACACACTGCATATACACTTTATACCCAAATGACTTATTAAACTTTAATTCAATTCGCATGCATCGATACTTTGCTTAAACTATAAACCTTTCTCTCTTAAAGGTACTACTTTTTTCTGCTATGCGACCATAAAAAAAAAATATAAAACAGTATGACTGTGTTTTCAGCTTTTTTTCCGCTTCACCAACTGGAAGGAACACACTGCTTGAACCGCGTTCGCGCTTACTTCTTTCTCTTCTGCTTTGTTTTCTTCTTCTTATCACAATGTCGGTAAATGTTGTTATTCACTGCTGGCTGCTTTTATTCCCCATTTGCTTGGTCCCCCTTTGCTATTTTATGTCTTTCTTATTTTCTCTTGTCGTGTCAACTTGTTAGCAATGTTGCATGCATATGTTGGGAAATTGGGAGTGGGTGGGGGGGGCCTTTTATTTAAAATTATGTTACATTCTACGAATGTACACTTCTTTTATGACATTCAATGCAGCTGTGGTTGTGAGATTGGCCGCAGGAGAATGTAGCGTAGAATGAAAGAAAGTCACTGGTAGAAAATGCGAGCATGAAGACGGCTCGACACAAAAACCTAAGCCACCTTCTTTATGCTTTTGTTGGTATGAGATGTGTATTTAAGTGTAATTTATGTTGCAATTAAATAAACATGAGCTACTTTGCAGCCAGGAAAACATTACAAAGCGTGTTATTTTCTTCAAGCATACTTTGCATTCGAGCAATAAGTAATCATTATTTTTTCTAACTACACACCACACTTTCACTCTGTTTTTTGTACTTTCACTTTGTGACTGGCGGAGTAAATATGGATGTCGTGGGAAATTTTTCTTTACATGCAGCACATGGCCCACTTCACCAACACAGTCATGACTGTGCACACGTATGTAGATATATTTCTGTCTTTTACTACATTCAC